TGATCAGAAGCATGCCTAGGCGCGTTGGAGAATGCGTAGCACATCAGGGTGCATCCACACATTATTAAAGGTCAAAGGGCTTTAAAGCAGTGCAATCATTTTTAAATTTTTATCATTTACTTATTATGCTTCATTAAGTACTTATACAAAATTTTATTAAAATAAAACCATTTAAACTGGCTGTTCGGATTTATATGTCACTTAGTATACATCAAAAAAATGTTATTAACTCCAAACCTTGGTTATATCAAAAAATAGAATTTCCTAGGTAGGCCTTGGAATTATGAAATAGTTATTTGTTTTGGTATACCTGATTTATTGGAAAATCATTGTTGTATGATTTTATTTGAAATGGGATTTTAAAATAAATTGCATATCGGCATTTTCACCCTTTCTCCTCTAAAATATTGCGTAATCAAATTCTCAATTAGACGTTTCTGCTTTCGATCTCCATAATCAACTTTGTTTTTTTTTTGTTATGAACTCGCCATTGAAATTTTGCGCAACGCAACACTCCGTTAAAACATTTACTCATGGTAAACCTCACATATCCACTTAAAGCAATATATTCTTAGCAGTATTTAAAGGTACAAACTCAAATATGGCATCAATATGAAAAAAGGAAGTTGTTGGAAGTCGAAAGAAGAAACGTCGAATTGAAAACTTCATCATGCAATCTTGTAGATGAGGAAAAATGACAATAACAACATGCAATTTGTTTATAAATCGTATCTCTAATGCAGTCAGAAAAAAATAAAAGTGATGTTGTGCTAAATCTGGTAGGTATAGGAGACAAATGACTACCTGATAATCTCAAGGCCTACCTTGGATAATCTGTTTTTTTAAGTAACTAAGGTTTTCACTGCCAATGTATGACACGTTATACATTTTTGCATCCAGAAACGTCATATTGAAATTATGGTAATACCAACTTGTAGAGGAAAGAAAGTGGCAATATTAATGTTAGGTTCATTTTCCAATCTCACTACAAAATAAAGGCATGAGGAAGCTAAAACGATTTCTCTCCAACAGTACTTGGAATTTCGAAAATTTGTAAGAAGCATTTTTGCCCCCATTTAAGCGATAGCGTATCTCTTACCGCTTCTGGAATCCCAATGGTGATAGTCGATGTATGATATTAGTTTCTCTTCCTAGATTGAAGAGCAACGACGTCTTGTTGACCAACCACCGACAACTCAATAAACTTCAATGCTTTTCAATTTCCTGCTGCTTTTTCATTTTTTATATACCTGTTTCACTTTTCTGTGCCTATTTGCCGTATACCTCAATCAAACTTTAAAACACTTTCCTAAGTTTATATCGTTGATTAAATATAAATTGGCAACTAGACTATTTCCCTGCATTTGAGCACCGTAACGGTAAACATGACGAAGCCGTTTGACTTTTCGAGATGTTTCGTCCACAACATCAGAATGTACAAAGTGCTTGGATATTGGAAACCGAATTCCAGCATGAGGTTCAAAGGGCTGTATAATTTCTATACCTTCGTTTGCTCGGTATGTACAACTAGGTCAATAAAAATGTGTCTTTATCACCAAGTACAAGTTCAATTGATCTTCACTTAACTAACGGGTGATTTTTTAAGAGGTATAGGATTTGATTTTAAAAAAAACACAAAAAATTTGAAAAAACGATTAAATCTGTATTTGAGTCGATAGAACGGTCGATATAATTTAATGTTTAAAGATTATTTCATGTAAATGTTGGCCGCGGCTCTGCTTTAGATGGCCCATGCGCAAGGAGCAAGGTCTAATTTTGGCACACTCTCTCCAACATATCGGCCGGTATCTCACGAATAAATGCTTCAATATTGGCTTCCAGTGCGTCAATCGTTGCTAGTTTATCCCTGTAGACATTAGCCTTAACATGGCCCCACAAGAAATAGTCCAACGGCGTTAAATCACACGATCTAGGCGGCCCCAAACGTGAGATAAACTGTTCACCGAACTCGCCTCTCAATAGAGCCATTGTTTCGTGTGCGGTGTGGCATGTGGCACCGTCTTGTTGAAACCACATGTCAGCCAAGTCGAGCTCTTCCATTTTGGGCAAAAAAAAGTTTGTTATCATCGCACGGTAGCGCTCGCCATTCACAGTTACGTTCCGGCCATTGTTGTCTTTGAAGAAGTACGGCCCGATGATGCCACCGACCCATAATCCACACCAAACAGTGATTTTTTAGGGATGCATTGGTAGCTCTGGCAATGCTTCTGGCTGGTCTTCACTCCAGGTGCGGCAGTTTTGCTTGTTAACGTACCCATTCAACCAGAAATGAGCTTCGTCAATGAACACAATTTTTCGATAAAAATGTGGATCTTCCTCCAACATTGCAAGCGCCCATTCACCAAATTGGAAACGTTGTGGGAGGTCGTGTGGCTTCAATTCTTGCACTATCTGTATCTTATAAGGTTTTACATCCAAATCCTATCGCAAAATTTTTCACGTAGTGGAGTAACAGAGGCCCAATTGCTGCGAACGGCGGCGGATCGACATTTCACGGTCATCACTAACACTGGCGGATACAGCCGCAATATTTTCTTCAGTCCTCACTCTACGTCTGCGTGTTGGTGGTTTAATGTTCAATAATGTAAACTAGGTTTGAAATTTAGTCACAAGCTTCCGAATAGCTCCCTCAGTAGGCTGACCAAATTGCCCATAAATTGGAAGCAGTGCTCGATGCACTCTCTTAACCGAGCATGAGTTTTGATAGTAAAATTCAATAATTTGCAAGCGTTGTTCGTTCGTAAGTCGATTCATGGTTAAATTATAGACCAAACTGAACAAGCTTGACAATGACACAAGACACGATTCACGCGTCATCTGTCAAAAACAGTGTTGCCACCCATTAATATTGTATGAGTGTACATCGAAACGCGGCGCTTGGTGAAATAGTGAACAAAGCTTCAAAAAACCAGTTCTCCGATTAGGGAAATAAATATTCTTCCGAGTGTGGGAAAGATTCGGACGCGACGGAATATATAGACCGTTAAGTTATCGAGTTTTTTGTTCAAAGCTTAGGATCTTGGTGTCTACTTGTTGAATATAATGACTAGGGACGCATTCCCGTTACACTTATAGACCTGCGGAATTCGCACTTTGAAAACGCGGATCCGGTGATATCGCAAGATTAATAATGACCCTAAATCTTTCTAGTAGGAACGCGAGAATGCTTTTTACCTTGCATTTATTGGCATTTTTCTTCATTTGGATATCATTTGTACGGATCCCTTAAAAATGATATTGATGTCAGCAAAAAATGTATAATACCTATGATGAGTTTTACTTTGTTGCAGAATTTGTACACTCAGGTGTGAATGTGCTACCTTATTTAGACATATCTTATACCTCAGATAGATATTAGTTGATATGCGTTCGCTCGGTGGTCCACCTGAGACCAAGCCTAGACTGTGCTGATGAGTTGCTAAAAATCACGAAACTGGTATCCATATTTGGCCGTCTGTGGCTGGACGAATGAAAACATTATGTTTAGTTGTTCAATGACGAATAGAGCACATCTACTATGTCTCCAGAATCGACAGCATCTAGTGAACTGACGGTATCTTTACTGTTCCAAGCGATAGCTACGGTTTTGGTATTACCTGTCACTTTGTGCTGTCTTATTTCGACTGTTGTTTGCTTCTACGCCATTAAGAGAGAAAAGGTAATCGTGGAAAACTTGCCCGATCTGGTGAGGAAGCACTATAATTGCGAAAAATTGCGAAATCCAGATATTCGTACAGTGCAACTCGCTTATAATGGACTCGGCGGGACTGTGACAAATAGTCTATTATGAGCAGATGACCACATCAAAAGAAACACTCTTTTTTATAGAAAATAGCAGTAGAAATAACATATTAAAAGCTTAAAATGTGTTTGTTTAACATGTTTTACATAAATAAAGATACATACAAAAAAGGTATACGTAATTTTGAAATTTGCATTTTTTCAGAATCTGATACACATACTACAGGCATACGTACTGTGTAGGTATTCGTAAAAACCGTAAATTATTTGACAAAAAGCTAGTAATTTTCATTTTGAATAGATTGTTTTTCTGTATAATTATTTAGAATAGCAAGTTGAATTTTATTTAATTTGTTAAGTGTGGCTGTACTGTCTTCTTCTTGCTGAAAATAACGTCGCAATTTTTGTCACGCAGTCTAATGCCTCCTTACTTGTCACTGGAAGCTCTTCTTCATCGTTGTTTTCTAGTTCGTCTTCCTGTTCGTTATCAACGGGTGCTTCATTAACCAAATTGGAGTCTGACAATTCCTGTGCTGCTATTAAATTATTTCCAACATTTACATACTCATTAAATTTGTCTATATTCAATAAACTATTAATTTTCAGTAAATGAAATTTCATCTTCTAGAGTAAAATCGCTCACTATTTATAGCATCTAAAATGGTGACAGCTTTGGTAATGTTGACACTTTCTTGAAGCTCCATAATTTTCATCAACATATGTTTCCGATGCATTTGTTTAAGACTCCAAATGACACCCTGGTTGCAGAACTGATGTCACATTGGATAGAAGAAATTGAAGGTTGATGTTATTAAGTTATTTGGATGAGCGGGGCAGTTATCGGCCAAGAGCAAGACTTTACGATTCTTCTTAACAAGTTCAGCGTCCCACTTTTTTAAATATTCTTCAAAAATTGATGAAGTCATCCAAGCTTTATTATTTCCAACATAATCGATGGGAATTGTTTTTACATTTTTGAAACACGCGGGATTCTTAACCCTTTCAGTACGGGACCTTTTTTAACGGTACTGTCACCACCGCCGGCACATTTTGCATTGTCTGGGCGCCTGATGACGTATATATCCGTCACCGTAATAAAGGTTAAAGTACACTAACGAAGTAAGCAATGCAGCTTAAAAACTTTATTACTCAATGAAAATCAAACAGTTAAATCCTAAAAATATAATAAAAACACTCAGAACTAAACAAAACAAAAAAAACATTGTGCAAGTTAACTTTTAAAAGTCGGCTACTTGATGATAAATCCGAAAGCAGGGCACTACACATAGCCCAACGTCACATTCTCTACACATGTAGCTGCTCTCCTTTCTTTTCTTTATTCCTGCTTTTGTCTGGGAGCAGACTTTGCATCTCCTAGTGGCACTTTTCTTTCCCTCTTTTCTAGGAACCAATTCCGGAAAATGCCGTTCTGTCAGCCTTGCATTCCCCTGATCAAAATGAAGTGGTTTTGCCTCAGTCGATGAATACCTGAAAAAAAAATGTTTTTATTAGATACGTTAATTGTTAAACTTGATGTTTTAACTTATCTTTCCAATAACTGCCGAATAACTTCTAAGTGAAACTTTGCAAATGGAACCTTTTCTGGATGCTGCGTCGAAAACATTGCGTGAGAATTTAGTAAGGTAACATCCACAGAATGAAAGAATACCTTTGCATACCATTTTATTGATTTACGAGTGCAATCAATGCTACTGATCATCATGTCCGACCTGTCAACTGCGCCCATATGCGTGTTATATTCTACAACGCATAACGGCTTCTTTATATTTTCTTTTGTAATCCTGCTTATTTTAGGAAGAGAGACAATTTTATTTGCATGTATTGTTGTCAGCATTATAACATCGCGGCGGTCTTTCCATTTGAGCGCCAACATAGTATTGCTACTTCTCCAGTCGACTTCACCAGTTTTTAGTTTCTTCTCAAATACTGGCATTTGTTTTCGGTTTTGTCGTACCGTGCCGCAAGAGTTCGTTTTGTGTTGGAACAGATAATTTGACAGAAACGGGCTCGTATAAAAGTTATCTGTAAACAGCGAATGCCCTTTATTTAAAAAAGGGCTCATTAGTTTGGCAACAATGGCTCCCGTAATACGCAGATCATGATTTTTTTCAGCTTGTACATTTGTAGCTTTACCCGCGTATATGATGAAATCTAAGACGGAGCCCGTTTCACAGTCACAAAGAACGTATAACTTAACTCCAAATCGATGTCTTTTAGTTTTAATATATTGTTTAAATGCCAACCTTCCTTTAAACAACACCATGCTTTCATCTATAACTAAGTTCTCGAAGGGATAAAAATTGTTCTGAAAGTTTCTTCTTAATTTTTGCATCACCTGGTCAATTTTATACAGACGATCATTCAATGGTACTTCTTCGTTATTGCAAAAGTGCAAATAACGGCGAATTTGAAAATATCTGTCTCTTGACATCTTTTGACGGAAAATAGCCGTATGTAGTAAATTATCCTGAGACCAGTACTCCTTCATTTCAAGTTTCTTCACGCGTGGCATTAACATAGTTATAGCAAGAAAAACATACAATTCTGGCAGATTAATATCTTTCCAGTTTTTAGCCTTTTGTTGGGCGGCATACCTGTTCGTTTCTGTCACAACTATATTTACTATTTCTTCGGAAAACAGGCTAAGAAAGTAATCTACTTCTTTTGAGTCCGGAGTCAAATTATCGTTCTTCAAACCACTGTTATTTCGGTCAAATTCATGTACTCGAGGGACAAATTCATTCGAGGTCCAAAAAATCTCCTGTTCACTTTGCTGCAAAATAGCTTCCAGATCTTCTGGTTCCTCATTTTGTGTAACTTGTTCGGTATCGTAATTTTCGTCAACCGAAGAGACTTCAGAACTAATACTTTCACTTTCTAAATTATCGGGTGAGTATTCGCTGCCGCTGTCTTCAAATGGGTCCTCCTCACTAAGGTAGATATCATCCTCATCCACAACGGATAAAATTTGCCTGATATCGTCCTCGCTCAAGCCGCAGTAACTAGAATTTTGTTGCTTACGCTTTTGGCCACGTGTAGGCCTTTCAGAGGGACCGGCGCACTCTTCCTCTGCCATTTCTAGTAAGACTATAACGCTCGGTTTCAAAAATCGCAAGCACGATACAGACGCTAGACAGTGTAGCCGGATGTCGTAAATTTTCGGCAACGCCAAAATCTTCCGTCATCCGGCTAAGCAGTGAGCGAAACATTGACATAATATTACGGCGCTCGTCTGTGGTGAAATGCCAGTTTCTAAAAGTGTCGAATCTGTTAGGCAGTAGGCTAATGGATATAATTCTTCGATGTCGGATATATACGTCAGCCGGCCGGTGGGTATATTCTATAACTGACGTATTAATATGTCAGCCGTACTGAAAGGGTTAAATTTGCCTGAAATAAAAAAAAAGTTACAAATTCTTGGCAGCACTGCCATTGCATATTAAAAAAATTAGAACATGAATTTCTATTCATTCACTTACCTATTATCAATAGTTTCCGTTTTTCAGTACCAGAAGCATTAGCACAAATCATAACAGTTACTCGCTCTTTTGATAGTTTCCCTCCATTGCAAGTTCCACCTTCTAATTTATGAGTTCTATATGGTAGCATTTTATAAAATAACCCGGTTTCATCTCAAACTTGACAAATCCAGTAATTGGTAACGTTCTGGTCAACTGAAGCTGACTCACTACACATTTTTCCAAAAAGAATGTTATGTATTTTCTTAAACCTGTCTAGCCAACCGGCACGGGTATCAGGTAAAAAACCTACAAAACGTCAAAAAAAAACTACATAATGTCAACTTGCATACTAGATAGCTTTTAGGCCCGTATCGTCAGTCGTCCCTACAATTGTAGGGCGCCTTTATGGCCTCCTTGTTTGTCATAGTTTTCTGCTTCTCCGTGTCAGAACTCTATTTTGAGGTTATGCCACAAACATCTATTTGCATCAAATTGTGCTTGCTTTTGAGTTATATCATGTTTTATCAGTCTGAAATTTCCTACAATTTAAAAAGAAAACATATCTTCACAATAGGAGAGCGCTGACGCTGACACGGGACAAGTGTAATCTAGAAATTTTTGAAGGAGAGAAAGGATGATGACAATCAAGGACTCCATAAACGCGCCCTACAATTGTAGGGACGACTGACTATACGGGCCTTAGGGTGCAAACAGTCGTTCCACGTTTGCTCACCAGGATCATTATAAGGCGGTCCATCTATGAACGAATATCTGAACGATACGAGATACTTTTCTCTAACCAAATATGCATTATTGTGCATGACCGGTTGCAGTGATAGTTCTTAGTTCACAGTGTGGTTCATTAACCTCAATGTGTACGTAGGTTTAAAATGTGAAAAACGAGTTTGGTTGAGTAGCAAGACCGCATCTGGATGATTGTATTGGTCTGCATGTATATAAAAAAGTTATGTTTGATAAGTTGAGAACATTATTACTGACTATGCTGCTAATGAAGTATATCTATTAGCTGTGCCATACGAGTTATTGGTGTTGTTCTTTCTGAAGAGAACTACATTTGAAGTAATCTCCAATCAATTTCCCAAATTATTCAGCCTTTATTTGGAGCATATGGCCACTTATTGGAAAATTATTAGCACGCTTTTGTTGAAACCATTTAAACAGCATATTATCGACTTTGGGGATGCAGCGATAGCTGCATTTTTTCTTTTTAGTATTTGATTTCCAGTCATTTTTAATTTTGTCACGGTTTTTCCAAATATTTGACACGGTGGATTTTTTTATAGCAATACGAGCACTATAATTGCCTGAGATGAGCCCTGCTCAAGCGCATTAATATTGTTAAGTTTTCGTGTAAAATGAATGCGCGTTTGGCACTTTTCGACATGTTTATAACTGTAATAAATGCAGTATAACACTGGTGGCCAAGTTCGAATGCAAACAGCGAAGCCAAACAGCCGTAAACGATTGCATCAGCTAAATCTGCTTCGGGAACTACCAAAATAGCTAGCATATAGTGGATTAAAATAGTCTGCTATAAGCGAGGGTCTATTTTAAGCCAGTCTATAATATCCGAGGATTTTCACATGCAATTATTTATAGGACCTTAAATTGTGTCCATTATATACGGGTTTCCATTATAAGCAAGTTCATTATAAGTGGATTCCACTGTATTTGTTACTGGTCTGCGTGGACCTCAGTCCAGATCAAAGGTACATAGTCTATAAGATCTACCAATTCGTTTATTGAGCCTTACATGCCAATCACATTCCGAAAAGCTATGTACCCATTTATGTCCATCTATAACTCAGTAAGTACCAAGCGGATTTTGAAGAAACTTTGGCTTAAGGTTTCTATCATCCCAAGTTATGATATAACGATGTAGGTTCTAAAGGTCAACAGCACAGGTACGAGTGAAAGACACAACGTTCTTAGATTCCATTTTTTGAGATTCTGGCCAGCTTATGGCTTAGTCAATTTATTAAGTTCAAACATCCAGCTAGAACGTTGGATTAGTTGGTGAGTTAAGTCAATGTAGTCTACTCCGCTTTTTTCATTGTACGATATGTACATGTCACACCATTGGGGTATATCCGACAATCATTGGCCACTGTGTAGCTCAAAAAGTGCTGCTTGATCTAATCATCATTACTGGTTCTGAAAGCCGATCCAGTTAGAGAAGACCTATCATGAGAAAATGACTAGCCGCTATCTCCTCTATTATGGACACTTGATTTGTAGAGAGTTTTTACAACCATGGATCAGACGAAAGAGCATTCAGGCCGTTGAGATTGTATTTCATATTATAATATTGGTACTAGCCTAAGCGCACGGCTCCGCCCGCGGGAAAGTACGAGCCCCTTCCCACTTTAGTTGGCCCACTTCAAGATTTGTACCAAAATACACCTTTATAAACTAAACATGACGAAACTATTTACTTCTAAAACAATTTATTTTCTCAAAAATATTTTAGATACACTCTATTGGTAAAAAATACATATTTGAAATCACTTAGACCTATAACTAATAGAACCTCTGAACAATGTGCGAATAAATGCGCGAAGTTAACAAAGCAACAATTGAAAGATTACCATTGGGTAACATCACCTTTATTTTTTACTACGGCCGAAATTCTTTGGGGCATAGTAATAACCAAGTTTTGGCAAAAATTTGGTGTAAAACAATCCCATATTTGTTGAGGCGTTTGTGACAGATCTGGACTGGTAGAAACCCATTTCAAGAGAGGTACATTATTTTCTTCCGTCCATTTTATAGCCTTTTTTGAGGTATGGCACGCTGCACCATCTTGCTGAAACACGAAATCTTGGCCGGATGTCAAACATTCTTCCATCACTGGTAAAAGCGATTCTCCTAAAATTGCCAAATATTTGTTTGTATCCACATTTCCCTCAATAAAATGAAGATTTCCTACTCCTTTTGATGACGTACTGCCCCAGACCATAATGGATGCTGGAAATTTCACTTTTCTCTTCAGACGGTCAACATGGAATGCTTCATTTTTTTTGCGAATAACTCTACTGCGACTGTCACCAACACAAACTTCTAATCGGGCCTAACCACTCCATTGTATTGCGCACCATTGTTGAGGTGTCCATTGTCTATGTTCTTTAGCCCATCTAAGCCGATTTTTCTTTTGCAGTGGAGTTAATAGTGGCTTTACTTTGCCCTATAAACAAGTTGTGCAACTATAGGGTTTTTACTTCACTTTTTTTATAAGAAGACTTACCTTGCAAGTGCTTAATCCCAGTTTGTGGGCCTCTCTATGAGTTGTGGACCTCAAAATTCTCCTTCCATAGCGTCACTCCACAGAGCACTTAATTGTAAATAATTGGCATGCCTGTTTTCACGATTATTCTTCTTAATGCTCCTCGGTCGGCATTGTGATACTTATTACTTTTTTTCACATATCGTTGCTTGATATTAACTGAGCCAGTTACGTTATATCTTCTAACAGTATTTCTCACACTGTACCGCGATAAGTCTAACAAAGTTGCAATTTCTGAGTTTGATTTCCCAGAGTTAAAAAATTTAATCATCAGTAGTCGAATTTTCTCACTAATAGCCTTTCCTCTACCCATTTGGAAAACCTTAACTACCCAAAACTATTTTAAACGTATTGTGACAGCTGTGATTAATAAAAACAATTGTCATGGCTTTTATTTTTCACAGCCACCTATACGTTATAGACTTATTTTGCATTAAATGAAAATAGGTCGATATGCTGTAATTGCAAAATGTGTTATTTTTATGCTGCAAATTTGATTAGGGAGTGATAAAGTTGGTGTTTTCTACTATATACGTAGTCGTGCCATAAGTTCTGTCCCATGATAATCTCATGATAAAAATGAAACAAGATAAGATATATTTATATGAAAGATATTATTTATTCGACAACATTTTTAGAATTCATAATCAAACAGTTTTATTCAAAATGTCCCCCCTTGGCCTTCACACACTGCTTCAATCTCGCGGGCCACTCATCTATCACTGCACGCACAGCTTCCAAAGGAATAGCTGCCGCTGATCGGATCAAATCCGCTTTCAGGGACTCGATATTACGGTGGGTTTTGGAGCAGGTCAACTGCTCTAGCAGGTCCCACAACTTGTAGTCTAAAGGATTGAGGTCCGGACTCCCTGAGGGCCAATCTTCCGCAGCAATGAACTCTGGCACATTGCTTTCCAGCCAGCGCTGCGTACTCTTAGCCTTGTGAGCGGGGGCGGAATCCTGCTGGTAGACCCAGTGTTGGTTGGCAAACAATGTACCACTTAAAGGCTTGACGATAGGATCCAGTATGTCGCTCTGATAGTTTGCCGCTTTTGTTTTCACGCCCTGTTTACAGAAATGGAGCTGAGTGACCCCTTCGTAGGACACCCCCCACCAAACCATGACTGACGCAGGGTGGTGGCCTCTCTCAACTCTCGGAATGATCTCCGAAGCTTCCTGTGAACTCCTTGCATACACTTTGTCATTTTGTCGGTTGAATTTTTCTTCTATGGTGAAGATTTTCTCATCCGTGAACAAAATCTTTCGGAATCCCCCAGCGGCGTACCTCTCCAAGAGCTTCTTGGATCTTGT